ACTGTCAGTTTGTTATTTTCACAAATGCTTCTCAGTATCTTTGTACAAATCACCTGTTTGTCCAGTGTTTGAAAGAAAACATTTACTGATGACATGAAAATATAAATAAAAAATTTAGGGCCTTTTTTTTTTCTTTTCAATCATGCTAGTTTATAATCATGTCATTAAGATTACCACACCTGAGCCAAGTGTGATGGTGCACACCTGTACTTCAACAGTGGGAGGCTGAGACAGGAGGATCTCTGTGAGTTCGAGGCCCAGCCTGGGCTTCACAGTGAGTTCAAGGTCAGCATGAACTACACACTGAGACCCAATCTCAAAAAAAAAAAAAAAAAAGATTGCCACACTTGAATGATAATGTAGTTGGTTTTCATTTTCAGCGCTGACCTGAAACTGCACTTATTAACTACACTAAATTTTTACTTTTAGCTAACATCGCTTGAAGAGAAAGCTTACAAATGCAGAGAAGAGGGTTCCTCTCTCAATATAAATCAGAAGCAGAAAGGAAGAATTTTTGCTCAGTTTTGTTGACGTTTACTTTTTTTATGGTGGTGGTGGTGCTAGGGATTGAACTCAGGGAATGAGCTATAATTTCAGCACTTTTAATATTTTATTTTGTGACACGGTCTTAATAAATTGGTCAGGCTGGCCTCAAAATTGTGAACCTCCTGCTGTAGCCTCCTGAGCAGCTGGAATTACAGGTGTGCACCACCACACCTGGTTTCATCATTTAAAAATATTTGTATATTTATTAATGTGATGATAACCAAGCTGAGTAAATTAATTCAACCTGATTCATAGAAACTTCTCAGGTAACTTCTGGGAACAATCAAAAGCAGCCCCCAATTTCATGAAGAAACTGACAGTGCCTGTGATGGGATTTGAATCCAGATTTCTCTAATTCAGACTGGATGCCTAACTACCTCACTATACCTGCTATAAACAAGGCTACTCTTTCATATAACTGCAGTAAAGCTGAGATTTAACGTTATGCAGTCCCATCTTATGCTACGAGGACCATATTCACATTTTACCACCCCACCCCCACCCCGGTGGTACCAGAAATTAAACCTAGGGTCTCCACACTCTGCTATATCCTCAGCCTGGTTTTATTTTTTAGAAAGTGTTTTGAGCTTTGCTAAGTCACTAAGTTGCCCATGCTGAGCTTGAACTTGTGATCCTGCTGCCTCAGCCTCCCAGGCGTGTGCCCCTGGACCTGGAACAAATTGTCCTTTATAGCAAATTTCTCCCAATGGAGAACCCTATCTGGATCAAGTTTTGCCTCTAGTTCTCCTGTTTCTTCAATCTTCTTTAATCTGAAATAGTTCCTTGGCCTTGCTTTGTTTTGACAACATGACAACATTGATCTTTTTTTTGTGGTATCGGGGATGGAACTCGGGTCCTTGCGCTTGCGCAGCAGGGGGTGAAACCACTGAGCTAAATCCCCTGCCCAACATTGATCATTTTTAAAGACTACTGGCTAGTTGCAAAACTGCCCTCAAGTTGGGCTTTTCCAAGTATTACTTCATAATCAGATTCAGGAAAACTGTATTTTATTTTTTTTTGGTATTGGGATCGAACTCAGGACCTTGGCTCTTGTGAGACAGGTGGAGGCATCACAGAGCTAAATCCCCTGCCCCCAGGAAAGCTGTACTTTTAGCCGGAAAACTATATGTTATATATTTTTATCACATTCCATCATGAGGCATACAATGAATAAAACCTATCTCATTTTGATAACATTTAACTGACCATTTGGACAAGCTGGTGCTGGGACTCACTGTAAAGCTACCATTTTGTTCCTTTGAAATCAGTAAACATCTATGGTGGCATCTTCTGAAGCTGTATACATAACCCTTTCCCAATCAAACTTTCACCCTTTGGTTTTGAGACAGAGACACTACGGGGACAAAGGACAGTACACTCCTGGACCTAAATTCAGTACCTGTTACACATTAAAAGTACAGAATAGATTTTTCTCTTGCCAAACAATCCTACTGATCTCAAAAACCAGATGCATCATTAAAGCCAGGATGCCTTCGCTGTAGCATGTCCAAAACTAAACTAGATTGCTGGGTGTGGTGCCACACATCCATAATCCCAACAGTTGGGAGCTGAGGCAGGAGGATCACCTCAAATTAAAAGGCCATCCTGGGATACACATCGAGTTTAAAGCCAGCATGAACTAACTTACTTTCTTTTTTTTCCCCAGGAACTGTGGATTGAACTCAGGACCTTGTACTTGCCAAGCAGGCACAGCACCACTGAGCTAAATCCCTGGCTTACTTTATTTGAGATAGGTCACTCTTGTAATTCAGGCTGGCCTCAAACTCCTGGCCATAGGTTCTGCCTCAGCCTCCAGAGTGCTAGGATTATAGGCATGTGCCACCACTCTGAGCATGAACTATATTTATATAGCAAGACCCTATCTTAACCAAAAATAAATAAACTATAAAGAAACAAACAAACTGTTGGGATCACAACAAAGGGGTGGAGGACAAACTCCAGGTCCTTAACTAGTTACTCGCTAAAAGCATGATTTGTGTTTTCTTCTGAGGCAGGCAGGGATTTAAAAGCTGCTTTTGCTACAAAACAAAAAAAGTAATGACTCTTCACTGAGGCCTACAGATGTCTAAGGGGTAACTAAAAGCATCATGAATCGGCATTTCAGCTTAAAACTTTGTATCAGATCTCTGCTCCACTCTACACAAAGCAGGTTAATCATTTAGGGAGTGTCCATCTAAAACTGGTCATACTGATACAGGGTAAGATAACAGAGATGAAATATGAAAATATGTATCTCCCAACCTGTCAAATGACTGATATGCCGAGCTCGTGTGCTCTAAAAATCACACAAAGAATTCTAGGAACAATAGAGGTTAAGAGTAGGAAGATATTTTACAGGCAGGAAGGATCCCGAATGAGTAGCCAGGGACCCCACTTTACTGGGAGTTTTATAGAGCAAAAACCACGTGAGTACAACATGGGCTACAGCTATGATCAACCAATAAGGTTACAAGTATAGTCGTTTAGGTAATAGTGGTCCAGTTGGGAAACAAGTCACATAACAAGGATGGATGGAAAGAACAAAAACTTCTCCTAAGAAATGGTGTGTCCGGAAGTCTCTGGTCACTCACCAGGATGGCTGATGTCTATCTAGACTTTATTAGGCTCTGTGTTTGAAGTATACAGGCCTGATCATCTCCTCTTTATCTTGAGGCCTGGTCTCCAACAGATGTGTCTCTGGCAGCAGTTGTGGTATGTTTCACCTTTGTCCTGACTGTCTCAAAGGCCTAGCCCTAGCTGACTGCCTGTAGTATTATCTGACTTAGCTGTCTATAACAATACCAGGCGGGGCCAGGGATTTAGCTTACTGGTTCCGCTGCCCGTCTTGCAAGTGCAAGGTCCTGAGTTTGATCCCTAGTACTCCCCCCCCAAAATAACACCAGGCTTATTGACCCTCCATTTACCTAACCCACATCCCTTCAAGACTGAGGACACCAAGACACCTGCAGGGACAGTCAATGGCCACTCCTATATCATCCTGCTCCAGGGCCTGGGAAGTCTCCAGCATGGCCCTAAGCCTGCAGTCACCCTGGCTTCCAGCAGAGCCTGAAAAACCAAGACTGCCCCTAAATGGAGCGATGCTCTCTGTGGAACCAGATTGCCCTTCAAACCATACCAACTTCTCCCAGGCTGCAAAGCCAGAACCGAGGGTCCATTAGCCAGGCCCTGGCCTACTCAGCAATCTCATAACAGGCCAGGCTCAGCTCCCCAAGCTGAAGTCCCTTCCACGTTTTCTTTCCCATTAAAGCTTTTGCCTCTAAATCTATGCTGTCGCTTCATTTTTAATTTCCCTATCAGAGGCAAAACCCCTACGCTAGTTGGTGACAGTTTTAACATTAATGGTTCCTGACAAAGCAATTTTGACTATTATAGTTGCTAATTTTTTTTTCTTTTGAGACAGTTTCACTACATAGGCTGGCTTCACCTGGAACTCATGATCCTCCTGCTTCAGCCTCCTGAGTACTTATATTACAGGCCTGCATCACTGTGTCTGGATGCAAAATATTTTTCTAATTGCTTGTCTTCTACATTCATTACACAGTGGTCTGCTTGGAGGGAAGACTTTCCCTACTTCCATATTACATTTTAATCTGGGGAGAAAGTTTTAAAAATTGGGATTCTAATTCAGTGGAGTACAGTTGATTCCCATTCTCTCGGCATGCTCTGCTTAGCCTGTGATCTGGACCTTCATTTCTTTACCTATAGGGCTCTCAGCCTTGTGCTCAAATGACCTGAATACTGTGTTTGAGGGCAATGGGTGAAGATGTTAGGACAAAAGTTCAAAGAAGGCCCGGCTTTCAGCTAGGTGTAGTGGTGCATGCCTGTAATCCCAGCACTCTAGGAGGCTGAGGCAGGAGAATATCAAATTGGAGCCCAGCCTGGCCAATTTAGCAACACCCTGGTTTAAAGACAAAAACAAACAATTGGAGATGTAGCCCAGTGGTAGAGATCTTGGTTAGCAGATCGTGGTTAGCCCAATTTCCAGCACTGCAACTAAATAAAAATATAAAAAGTGGATTCTGTGTCCTGCTCACGGAGTCAGGGTATATGTGTTAGGGCCTAGCAATCAACATTCCGAGCGGCCTCAGGAACAAGTGAAGAAAACTTAACCTACAAAATATGGGCAAATCTTCCCTCCTGGAGCAATGGGCGCCGGCTCAGGAAAAGCTGGGTGAAGCACGGGCGGGCTATCATTCTTCTCCGCGTGGCTGCGTTCGGGGCGCGCAGGGAGCACCTGACCCCGGAGGCACAGGGCGCCCCCGGGCTGGCTGCCAGTAGGCAGAAGGCGCCCAGCCAACGCTCCGCCCAGCCCGCGCGGCGGCCGGTGCTTAGTCACGGTGAGGCTGCGCTCGCCCGCGTCCCCTGCCCGCCCTCGCCTTTCCCCTCCCGCGTCCCCTGCCCTCCCTCGCCCTTCCCCTCCTCCGCCCCCTCCGCGCACTTCCGCGTGCATGGCGCTGCTGCCGCGGGCGCTGAGCGCGAGCGCGGTGCCAAGCCTGCGGCGTGCGGCGCGCGCCGCCCCCGGCCTCCCGCTGCGTGCACGCGCGCCCTTCGGCGCCCGGTGCGCCCTCTCCAGCGGCATGGCGTGCAGGCCGGAACCGCAGCAGCGCCCGCCTGGCACCGCCGCCTCCTACGACTACCTGGTGATCGGGGGCGGCTCGGGCGGACTGGCCAGCGCTCGCCGGGCGGCCGAGCTGGGCGCCAGGGCCGCGGTGGTGGAGAGCCACAAGCTGGGCGGCACTTGCGTGAGTACCGGGCCCGTGGGCGCGCTCGCCCCCTCGCTCCCGCCCTCCCGGCCTCCGCAGTAGCAGCCGGGGCCACCCTGCGGCCCGGGCCTGGCCCCCTCGGCGGAGGTGGAGGAGCGTCGAGGGGCCTCTCTGCGCCCGAACCAAGCCTGCGCCGGGCCGCTCAGGTGCAATGCGAGTGAGCGCGCTGACTCTTGCAGCCTTGTTCCTCGAGTGGGAGAGTATGCGTGCCATGCTTGGTCTCGGGAACACCGAACCGCAGCTGGAAAATTGGGAGCAGCCCCTGTGTGCGGGGCGGGGGTCGGGCTGGAAGGCGACCGTGTAGCCTTTGAGGAATGCGGGACTGGTTCTCTCTCGTCAGTTGCCAGGGCAGGGTAGTTTACAACACAGTCCTAAACCTTGGCCACACGTTTCCTAACCCAAGGAGTTGGGGCTTCTCAGATCCTTGATCTGAGGTGCAGCCTGGGTTTGGGAGTTTGAGAAATTCCTTAGGTAATCTGCGTTGCAGCCAAAGCTGAGAACTACAGGCTGCCTTGATGGAAGATTTAGATGATTTTTTTGTTTTTCTGAGACGGGGTCTCACTGTACTGCCCTCTAACTCGCTGAGATCCTCCTGCCCAAGCCTCTTGAGTGCTGAGATTACAGGGCTGTGCCACTGTGCCCAGGTGCTTTATTACCCTCCATTGGGTGATATTTTAGACCTTTTGAATTTGTTTTGGGTAGATTTTAAAACTACCAAAGAAGTTGTAAATCCTGAGATTAAAAACCATTTTTGTTGTTTTTTTGGGGCAGAATCTCCCTATCCAGTTCTGGGCAGCCTTGAACTCACTATATATCTCAGGCTAACCTGGAACTCGAAGTGATCCTCCTACCTCAGCCTCCAGAGTGATGAGATGACAGGTGTGTGCCACCATGCCCAGCTAAAAACTTCATAATTTTTAAAAGTTTTGTCCCTGAGTTGTTAGTTTGGACTTTTTCTATGTCAAGATTTGGGTGAAGTACATGCTGCTGAGATTAATATGCTCCTTCCAAAACTAATCCGGGAATAGGGTTGAGTTCTGTGAATGCCTTATGTTTAAATTATACTGCATTGGGAAGTCCTTAGGGCAGAGATGGGTTCCTGTATTTGTGTATCTCTCATCACTTTTAACAAAATGACTTGCTCAGTATCCTTTTGTGAGAAGTGAATGAAGGTAGAGAACGGCTGTTCAAAGGCTAACTCCATCTTTCCGGGTCTTTTTTCAAGTTCAAAACAAAGGTGGGACAGGGAGAGAGGAAAAGTCCCTGTTAATCATCAGCTTGCTCTTTGACGCTGTACCCCAGAAGGACGAGAAATCGAGAAGTCGGGTCAGTGCAGAAGGTAGATTGAAAGTGCCACTCAGGCTTGGCCTCTGGCCCCAACTTTGAGAACACTTGATTGCCTCTCACCTCTGAGTCTCCACATTTTTCTGTTTTCCTCCTTTCTCCTTGGTGTCACAATAGGCTTGTGGCACCTGCTGTCATTGCTAGCTCTGCTAGTATTGATCAAGAATGGGTTGGCTGTAGTTTTAGGTTCCTGCTAGCAATTTGAATACATAGAAAGATAAACTGCTTCGAGAGTGAATTGCAGCAAAGTGCACCTGGGGACAGCCAGCCAATTATTTGCTGCCTTTCTTATGAAGTGGGTGGCCTTGCTTATCTCATTCCCCTGCAGCAGTTTTGACTTCCTTCTAAGCTTTTACAAATTCAGGAAATCCTCTATTTAATGTTTTAATAACATTCTCAAACTGGCTTCTGGCTTTTAATTACAAGAAAGGATGTAGGTGTGCAGTAAATATCAGAGACGATACAACAAATAGGTAAATAGAGGTTTAGATTTCTTTGAGGATTGTAGTTATGTGGACTGTTCGAAGTTGCAATAATAAGATATTACATGCAGTGTTTTCCAGACAGGTATAGGGAAAGTTGAGGCTTTCTGAAGTACATCCTCATATTAATATACTCATTTTTCAGATTGAGGCTGACAGGAAAAGGGCAAATACAAACATCTGTAAGACAGAGGCCCACTTAAGGAATTTATAATACAGTGAGGCATACCAGACATAGGCAGTGTAGTTCAGAGAAGAGCTGGGATTCTTCTGCCTGGGTACCGTGGGGAGGTTTCTAGAAGATAGCATCTTTGGATCTTTAGAGGAAGTATATTTTTTCTGATCATTTTCTTTATTAATACATGTTTGCAGTATATAATGTTTACATTTCTTGTGGGGAATTGGTATGTGTACATAATACATATTTTTTGACTTAGGTCTGAGGCAAAGGTGTACAGCTAGTTTTATTGAATAATTGAATTTTACTGGAGCAAAGGGTATTTCTTTAACAGAAGTAAAGATAGGAAACTGGCTTTTAAAAAATGTACTCTTTCTTCCTGTCTGCCTGTCTGTCTGTCTGTCTCTGTCTTTTTTTTCTGCAGTGCTAGGGATCAGACTCAGGTCCTTGAGGATGCTAGGCAAGTGCTTTACCACTGAGCTACATCCCCAGCCCAAAATGGATTTTCTCCATGCACAGTGAACTGTGAAAGGATTTTGAGCAGGAGAGTGACACACACACACAATATTACCAGGAGATGTCCCTTGGGGAGGCCAGATAGCAGTTTAAAACCATCCAGCTAGTCTTTTACTAAATAAAATGCATTATTGTAGTTCTAAAGCTTGATAAATTTTTATTTTCTAATTTTTTTGCAGTGCTAGGGATGAACCCCAAGCCTTATACAAGCTAGGCAAGTGCTCCACCACTGAGCTACAACCCCAGATCTGAAGCTTGGTAAATTTTTAATTTGTCGTGGATGAAGTCACACAGAAAAGTCAAATAAATCTTCTAGCAGTGCTTATTTCAAGGTAGTGGGATTATGTTTAACTCTTGCTATTTTATTTTTGTTCATTTATTTAACAAATATTATTGAACATCTGTGTGCCAGATACTTTACTTGATACTAGGGTCACAACAGCAAGCAAAACAGATAACAGTTCCTGTCCTTGGGATCTTGCATTTTAGTTGTGATCTGTAGTTCTCGTTTTTCCTTGCAGTATTATTGTGGTGGATAAAAGAAAACAAAATACACTTATGCATTTTGCTGCACACACCCCCCACCCCACCCTTTTCAATCCTGGGAATGGAACCCAGGGCCTCCTGACACAGGTGAGGTAAGGGCTCTACCACTGAGCCATCCCCTTACCCCTGTGTTTTGCTTTTTTTTTTTTTTTTTTTT